TTTTTTTTTTTTTAAAGATTTATTTATTTGTGGATACAGAACTGTGGTACAGGCCAGAGGCTCAGGGGCAGTGAGAGGCTTCACCAGAGACAGAGTGGGGAGCAGAACAGGCAGATCGACTAAGTACACTGCTGAGAGAAGCAGCGGGTCAGGAGAGGTCTGCCACGCCATGTGGTCTCCTCCGGGGCAGGCGGGAATCAAACTCAGGCGGAAGCGGCTTTAGATTCTCAGTGCTGTGCTTTAACCTTCTGCGCCACCAGGGAGGGCCAAACTATTATATTATTAAAGAAAAAAAGAAGAAGAAGAAAACTAGCAGCAGCCGGCCCAGGTATAAGGCAGAGGTGGTTTTTGTCAGCCAGAGCTGCTGTCCTGTCTGCAGCTGTCTTCTTAGAGCTGCGCTTCAGCTGGCTGCACCTAGAGGCAGGGCCCTGTACACTCCTATTGCAAACTTCATTCTGTGTCATCAAGGGTGGACCATTACATTCGCATAGTCTAGAGAGGAAACACCAAAATGTGGAACAAATGTTCAATCAGTAAGAAAGCGTTTCAGCTTTCTCAACCACTATGGTTACAGAACAAGGAGCTTTTCTCATCTCGGGTCTGAGGCAGCAGGTTCAGCTGGAAACAGCTCCCCACCCCAGGCTGGACACCTGCACCCTGCCCCACCAGGGTAGAGACTGCCCATCCCCTGGACCCTCTGTCCTGCTCTAAGTACCAGGCCCCCAGCAGCAGGAGGGGCCCGGCACCCTCTGAAAGTGCTTCCTTCTGTGAGGAGGGCACAGGGCCTGGTGAGACCCCTGACACCTCTCCTCAGTCCTGACCAGACTGTGTCCTCCCCAGACCCAGCCAGCCTGCTCTCACCTCTCGAGGCACGTGCTCTACGTTTCCTGATGATGGCGATGGTGATGATGATGAGGATGAAGGCGACAGACAGGAGAGGAATGAGGATCCCTGAAATATCACGGTTGGACTGTTTGGTCTCTGGGGACTTTGTTGGTGGCGCTAAACCAAACCAAAAGAAAATATCAAAAGCCCTGTCAAATCTGAAATCCTGTCCAAAGCACTGCCATGTGTT